TTTATGAGGTCATGCTTTTGGCGTTAATCCAGAACTCGAGTTAATTTGTTTCTCATTGATTCGCTTTGATTTAGAGTCTAAATACATTTGATTTAACCCTAATTTAAAGTCAATTAAAGTTTAAAAAATTGAAATTATATTTGAACACAAATGAGAACCTTAATCGGCGCTACTTTTTTCTTATTTTTGACTTTATTTCTAGTTTTGATTAGATTTTAGATATGAGATTAGGATATGAAGTCAATTAAAGTGAATGAATAAAAGCAACAATAATTGTGTTTTTATGACAATATATTTGCTCTTTTGTACGGAATTTTGCCACATTCTGTGAATTCTGTGTCCAATGCATGCAATGATGAGTGGATTCTTGACTTTATGAGTAATGTTAGTGTGATTGTAGGCCTAAGTATAGGACAGGGAGTGAGGACTGAGAGACTGAGGCTGTGGACGATTGACTGTATGAGTGGTTGGTCTGGTTATTGGGGTCACCATCGGAGCCAATGTTCCAAATACTAATCACTTAATTACACGTTAAATGCCTTATAAAACATGTTTAATGAGAAAATGAGTTTAAAAAATAGTGGAAAAGTGAGTCTCAAGTCGTGATACGACAGAGGGAGCAGTGCTCTAGCACTGGATGTGTGAAGCAAAGCATACAAGCACTCAATATGTCGACAATAAGTGACTGAAGTCTGACATTACATACGCTTTAAACTGAGTTTAAAACCGTTTAAACCGATGTAATCCTCGGCCGGACTCTCATCCACTCTAAACACTCATCTCTCGTCTCATTTCATGTATAGCTCTCTGAGAGTGTCATCCATTCACACCACAAACCAATTGATTCTCATTTTATGTCAGTCGAAGTGATAACTATTGAAATTCACACCCATTTTAAGGTAAACCAAACCAAACCAGACATTCATTTTGCCAAAACAACTGCTCTCTCGCACTCTCCCTGTGCTCTCTCACTGCTCTCTCACTGCTCTCTCGGTGTGTCTCCCTGTCTGCCTGTACTGTCTGTCTGAGCCACTGTCTGACACTTGCATAACACCAATGATTCACTAACTCTTACTATTGCTATCATTATATCATTACTATTACTATCATATCCATTGTCTTGTTATTTATTTATATTGTGATTCATTTTAATATACTTTTATGTGTTTATATAATAAATGCATTTGTATTCATAATATTTGGCTAATAATCAGAGCAATAGTCTATGAATTTGAGAGTTTGTATCAAATTGATAGTCAATACCAAAGAGTATGTATTAGCCCTACAATGAACTCCACTTAATAACTAGTTATTAGAAATTCATTAAAATGCTATTTAATGTAAATTTCGGTTCATTTATGTCTCGTATAAAACCAGTCGTTTGTTAACATGAGTCAAATGAATGTTTTATTTTGAGTATCCCTTAAATAAATTTCATATATTTTATCTAATATATGAATATTAGCCAAAAATACTAGTTATTATGAATTGGTGCAAATTAAGCTTGAACAAATGATGCTTTGATAGCATTTATAAAGTTTCTAATAGATTGTTCAGAGTGACAAGTAAATGTTGTATTGAATATAGATGTCTAATACCTGTGTCATATCTCATACCCGCAGTATTAATGTCTGGCACTGGTGTGGGATCAGCAATACGTCGATGCCATCCCTGCGAGCACTGCAATAAGTCCTTTACATCCAGTCATCAATTGGCTCAACACAACCGCATCCATACGGGAGAAAAGCCATACAAATGCAGTTATTGTGACAAAAAGTTTAAGCAATTATCTCATGTCCAACAGCACACCCGACTCCACACCGGTTAGTGTCCATCATTACCATTCATTTGCATTCATTGCTCACTTGATCCAAACACCCTGAACTATGCCTAATGCCCTGAACCCCGCAAATGTATGAATGTGTGAAAGTTATGCGAGATTTGCATTTATGATGAACTATTGGTGTAATTAAGTGGTCGTTAAGATGCAGTGATTTATTATAATTGATAGAAATAGTGGTAAAAAGTGACGAAACAATAGAATATGTGTTAAGAGGAGTGCATTTGATGGCAGAATAGCGTGAGTTTGTTGTGAGAGTTGTCTCATGTCTTGTCTCCTATGGCCCTAATGTCTCACAAATGATAACATTTCTTAGCACTCGATTAGCCAGCGTTTGATCTAAACGCTGATTACCTCCGATGTAGTGAATCCCAGGCGTAGAGAACGGGTATTGAGTCTAATGTGATGTTCAGAGCAGATCAGTGGCGATGAGAAGTCTTATCAAAGACTCACTCATTGTTAGGAATCCACCGTTTTTTGCCTCTAATTCTCTTCTCTTTATTCTCTCTATTCTTAACTATAATTCTAAGTCTAACTCACAAGTTGTGCTCAACTTATTTGGTCTCAAACTTTGGTACCAATAATACAAAGAATAGTTGTGCCGAACATCAAATCAGGTCCGATGTCTGTGTAATATATGTTTTAATTTTTTCTCAGTTGAGAGCAAAATGTGACAGTGATTGATGTGCCCATCCATACACTCCCATTCTCCTCATCTATTCCCTACCATTCCTTACCATTCCTCGCTATTCCTTACCATTGATTCCCATTTTCCACTATCAATACTACCACCAAATGTGTGTTCTCTGCATATGAGAGAGAGAGAGAGAGAGAGAGAGAGAGAGAGTCTCTATAGTATATGGCAAACTGTGATGTATGAGACCATGAGAGAGAGAGAGACTATAAGTTCGACACAATCCAAGATTATCCCAATAGTGAGCCATAGTATAGATCTATCAAATTATTACACTTGGCTGTAATGACTGAATTGCAGGCGAGCGGCCCTATAAGTGTTCGGTACCGGAATGCGGGCGCGCTTTCATACAACTGTCAAACCTTCAGCAACACATGAGAAGCCATTGCTCTCTCGACAAAGTGGCCAAAAATAATGACAAGAAGTTTGTTTGCAATCATTGCGGTAAAGGATTCAAAGGACAGAGCAGTTTAGCCACACACCAGTCGAAGGTATTTCACCACATAATTGCTTTTCATTTTAATTTTATTACCAAACAATACATTCTATACGTTATATTCATTTTCAAATATATATCATATTTTTCTAAACAATGATATCGAAGACCACTATTCAATTGATTTGAAACAAACATTTAAAATGTGTCACAATTTGATTGATTGAACAAATATTTCTTTATATATAAACTGGATTTTTAATTTTTGTTTAAATATATCTCAAGAAATATACAATTGTTTACCAGTCATCCCTCAATAAGTTTATGTGATATTAGAAAAAACTAAATTTTATTTTAATACAGACTTTGATTTGTCTGTCTTTCAGACAAAAGCCCAAAAATAGAGCAAAAACTTGAAAGTAATTATAGATAGAAATGTGTAGACTTTACAGACTTTACATTGCATATTTTAAACGTGTTTTTCACACGTTTTTTACATTTAATTCTCAAGTGTTCATTAATACACATATGTTTTCATTGTTAACATCTCGACTAAAATTAACAATAAAATTGTATTTAAATAATATATAAATTTAATGCGAAAAATATGGCTCATAAGGGATGCAAAATATCGACAAATGGTGTCTAACTCTTCCGTTACTGCAAATCATAATTGATATGAAATGAGGAGAAATAGTCGGCACTAAAGGTTTAGTGGAAAAATGCATTAATTGTCGGCCCTTTCATTGGTTGGGGTAATTGGAGTTGAGTTCTATGTCCTCTGGCCTTGATATTCGTGTTAATAATCCATTGAAATGTTACGATTAGACCATTAAATAAGGAAAACCACTGACTCTAGTGTTGAGGAAAATTGCAAACATTTGTTTAAACGGTTAGCGACGAGTTCGAGAGGGTTTCGGTCGCGAAATATTGTCATCGCTTGATATGAAAGCAAATAAATTCATGTAAAATGTTGATATGAAACCATTTGTGATGTCGTTTTTTATATTATATATATAAATAGTGTAATAGTTTTGTATGAAATGAGATGAAAGTGCGGATCGAAACCGAGACAGACGTTTAGCGCACTCCAGACGCGCATTACATAACATACACTAGAAGTTCATTAACTCTCTTATAATTAAATCCAATATAATTTGTTTCTTTAAATTTTAAAATAAAACTCTAATTATATACACTATTGCTTTCAACGGCTTAAATAGTGTTTTGACAAAAACATTGTTTTTATCAAATTTATTGACACATTTAATTGAAGTTAAATAAATAGTTATGATTAGACGCTTAGACCCCACCCATAACTGTCTGATATTTTCGAGCCATGTCTGGGATGCGGAATGACTTGAAAACTCTATCCCAGCGCTGACTACTTGAATGTTTCACATTTTTATGCTTATTTTCCTCTACTTCGTGGTTCGGAATAAAGTTTTTGCTACTTTTTTTTCGTCTGAAAATTATTTAATGTTATGAAATTGTTTTGTAAATTTCCTTAACTATAGTTTTTTGGTTAGAATATTAGCATTTTTGGTGTACATACCTGTTCCAGAATGGGTTACCTGAAAAAAATGTAATGGACTCGACCTTCGAGACCCACTCCTTACAAGTCTCCAACTCTTTGAAAATTATTTTGAATTAATTAGTTTGGGAACACATTTCTAATGCATTCAATAATATTTTATTTATTGCTAGTATTCTATGCGAATATTTTTTCCATACAATCGACTGTCGATTACATGACATACTATGTATTGACATATATTTTAATATTAGAATTTAACTTTAGTTTTTGACATTTATTTATGCAATAAAATGGGGTACTTTTCAGACATAATGTCAGGCTTTTAAGCATAAAAAGGATTAATAAAATTCAATAATTTTTTGCAGTAAATATATTCTGGTAGAGTTGATGTGTAACTTTTTTCTATAAACTCGTTTTTAGAAGTTTTGTTCACTTTTTTGTATCTATTAATTTCTAGTATTACTATAATTTCATATTTATTGCTAATAACTGTCTATTTTTCAATTATTTCTTATAAATTGACTCAAAACATAACTAATTTATTCAAAATCCTGTTTT